TGATTTAAAATGTTTTAAAATTAACAACATTTCAAATTGACAGGATTCTTTAAAGGCAAAAGCCTGCAGTCTGTGCATTCAAAAGCAATTTCTTAGTCCAAGTCACTCAAATGTTTAATTTGCCCAAGCATGTAAGAGCCCTTATGGGCTTGTTTTGCTTTGTTTTAAATGAGTGAAGGAAGAAGACTTTTGAGTTACTGTTTTCCAGCTGTTGCTAAGATCTGTCTGCTTGTGATTTAAAAACCAAAATAGGGTAAAAAATAATCTAGAGAAGCCTAGCAGCAGTTTTGAAAAGCTAGCCTCATGCAGCCACAGAAATCTAAGCATACAAGGAACCCTGCCCTTTTTATGCAGGAAAATCAGATCAGATCATGTTTAGTAACAGGAGTCCAGATTACTACTCAAACCCCACCGTGCAACTGCAATATTTTATGTTAGCAACTGCCTCTGATTTGTTTGAGATATAGACACATGGGGGCACAGGTTTGTTTTAATACGGCTTCTGCTGCTTTGTTCTAAGAAGGATTCTGAAGAAGTGCACGTGAAGCTCAGAACATAATTCATTATCTTGGTAAAAACCAGACTGAAAACTAACATGCCAATCTTCAGGCACAAATGACTATTCTAAAATACCACATTTCATACCAATTTTTCCAGTTTGGAGATCATAATCAAAGGCATCCACTGAGTAGGTCAAGCTGTCAATGTAAAAGAAGGTTTTGTGATCCAGCGACCAGTCCAGCCCATTGGAAATGTCCACCTGATCAAAGTGCTTCACCACAGAGTGGTCAGGGCACAGCGTGTACAGGGAGCCCTGGCGAGGCTCCAGCACTGCGGGTCGAATCTCTTCAGCCATCGTACCTGTGCAGGGCCATAGGGCAGAAAGCAGGTTCAAAGGGAATGAACGGGGTTTGGTGGCAGCCCCTCGCTGTGATGATGCCAGTAGGAGAAGGGAGCAGCGGAGGGGCTTCAGAAATTCAGGGAAGAACGACAGAGGAAGGCAGATTTCAGAAGTGCCTGCATCTAGCAGATGACAAAACAGAGCCTTTGTTTTGACTGCTGAAATGGCATGCAGTCAAACTTCTCCAAAACGCTTTTACTTTCAAAAATAAAGAAAGGTGTTGGCAACATTTTATTTCCAACATACCTTAACATTTGGTATTGAGGAAGCATAGGAAATACTTTCCCTCAGAAACTGTCTTATAAAAACAAATCTCATCTTTGTGGCTCTACGTTGTCAGTTGACAGTGGTTCTTGAGAGGATGCAGAAAAGCAAGCTAGGGCAAACCTAAAGACCTAACTGCACAGCAGGCACACAGAGCAGTGCTTTTAAAGCCAGGAGAGAACCAGGAGATGGCTGAGACAGGAAGATACCTCTGGCTGTCATCTAGTCTCACCCCTGCTCAGAGCATGTTGCTCAAGACCAAGGTCAGTCTGGTCTTCAATATCTCCACAGATGGAGACAGCATAGCTGCTGTGGGAAACCTGCTCCACTGCCCAACCATCCTAACAGATGACCAGCAACAGAGTTCTCTTACATTTACACACGATTTCCTTAATGTCAGTCTACAACCTCTTGTCCTGAGTACCACTGAGCAGAATTCCAGATCCCCCTCCTTAACCAGCACCCCACCAGCTTCTTACAGCCATGGGTGAGACACCCCTAAGCCTTCTCCTCTCTGTGCTCCAGTGTTTCCACTGGCACTTTGTCATTCAAAATGAGCACACCAACAGGGTGAAGACAAGGTGTCTTAAACTAGGCAGACCCTGAATAGTAGCTCTCTTTTTACAAAAAGAGTCCTGATTAGGTGGTGGCCAGGTGATCCAAATACAATTCTAAATGGGACTGAATAGTGGAAGACAAAAAAATCCTTACTATAAACTATATATAAAAATACATGTAAACTATTTTTAATACTAACTATAAACCAACACTACATCTCCAACTGACTGCTGCATGCTGGCAGTAAAACCACAGAGGAGGAGCATGGCAAGGACTGAGCAGCCACAGAAAGGAACCAGGTGCAGCATACCTGCAAAATACCTCCCTGCAGGATCTACTTTCCCATCGTTGAATCGGTTCTTTGCTTTATCTCTGTCCACCTGAGCAATGGGGGTTACCAATTGCTCTTTCCATTTCAAAGCAGCAAACTTGGTTCCCAGTGTGATGACATAATCCCCCGATTTCCGAAGAGCCACAGAGCTCACTGGAGCATCTAGAAACAGGAAGGGAGGAAAGTGCCAGTAATGGCAGATTAGTATACAGTAGTTAAATAAAAATAAAAAAATCAGCGTGAAGATAACATCTCTGTAAAAGCCTCCAATCAGATGCAACATAAAGGAGAGCAACTTTAAATAAAGCAATAAAATCTGAGATAGGATTTAACAGAAAAGACTTAGGAATATGCATGGGACTGATCACCAACTCTCTAACTAAAACATTTGCCATATTTATAGCTTTGCAGAGATATAGCTTTGCTAATGCAACCACCATAAGCCATCCATGCTGCCAAAAGGAGCTGCTCCCTGGTGGCCACCAGTTTGTGGCACCCTTTGGTTTGTAGCCCCACCAGAGACACCACCACACAAGAAACACAATGCAGGCACTGCCCAACTGCATGTGTGCATGGGGAATGGGGAGCAACTTGAGGGCAGAGCTTTAGGGTGTGAAGTGTTCCAGCCACCCCAGTGCTTCCCAGACCCTTGCTTTCTCCATGCCTCTATTTGCAAAGAGGGCACATTCACCTTTTCATATGACTTGCTGCACTGAACCAGGGCTGCCAGGAGCTCTACTGGGCCCTGCTGAGGATGTACACGTGCAGCAAAGACAGCACTGTATCAATATGGCACCCTCGTCTCCCCAAGCTGCAGGGTCACAGTGCCACCAGCCACAAAACTCTGAGCAGCAGCACTGATTCCAGGTTCAGTTTGGCTAACTGTCCTTACTCAGGTACATGAGTATCTAAATGGGGACTATAAGAAAGAAGGGGACAGACTCTTTAGCAGGGTCTGTTGTGATGGGACAAGGGGAAATGGTTTCAAACTAAAAGAGATTTGGGTTGTGTATAAGGAAGAAGTTTATTTACAGTAAGGGTGGTGAGGCACTGGAACAGGTTGTCCAGAGAAGTGGTGGATGCCCCATCCATTCAAGGTCAGGCAGGATGGAGCTCTGACCACTCTGATGTAGCTGTAGGTGTCCTTGTTCATTGCAGGGGGGTTGGACCTTTAAGGGTCCCTTCCAACTCCAACAGCTCTATGATTCTCCAGTCACACCACCTGTGTGGCCCACGCCAGGAATGCAGACAGTGGGCAGTGGCACTGCTGCAGCCAGGTCAGGGGAAGGGAGTTTGGGAAATAATGCTTCCAAATCAGCGTAACTCCTCCTCTCATCTTGAAGCTGGTAGCTATGCTGATTTTAGGGTCAGAAAATCCAGGCCAATGAGGTGTTGGGTAGGCAAATGAAGTGTCTTTCACCATGAGTTACTGAACGTGACATAGCATTAAAACCCAAGTTAAAAAATGTCAGGAGCTGCCCTGAGACAGACCCATAGAAATTTACATTATCACTTCCAGAAGTTAATGTGCAACTGTTTATTAGTGCTAGCATGCCTCTTCTGGAACAAAGCCCTAAACCGTTGAACACAACCAACCATTGTGCATCACAGAATTACAGAATAGCCAGGGGTGGAAGGGACCTCAAGGATCACAAATCTCCAACCCCCTGCCACAGGCAGGGCCACCAACCTCCCCATTTAGTGCTACACCAGGCTGCCCAGGGCCCCATCCAACCTGGCCTTGAACACCTCCAGGGACGGGGCATCCACAACCTCTCTGGGCAGCCTGTTCCAGCACCTCACCACTCTCTCTGTACAGAACTTAAAGAACTAGCATCACCAAGCATCATAACAGCTCCTTACCCATGGACACAGCCTGCACCTGCCCGCTGGCCGCATCCCAGCGGCACACCTTCCTGCCCGTGATGTCCACGTACAGCAGCGAGTTCTCCTTCTCATCCCACACCGGAGACTCCCCGAGCCTGTATCGGTCACTCCCGATACACTCGATCTTAACGGAGGACATGCCTGAGGGGAAAGCACAGCTGTACACATCTCCGGGCAGCGGGAGGGCAGCGCGGCCGGGCACACGCGGTTCTCTACCGCGAAGCCGTCACGGCCAGCATGGGAGCCGCTCGGCCCAGGTCCGTGCCCGGCCCTCCCCGGTCGCTCTGCCGCGCCTCTCGGCGCCGCAGCTCTCGCCGGGCGTTGCGAGTCGTACCTGAAAGAACGAGTCGATCCCAGCGGTAACAGCGCGCCTACCTGCTGCCGGCCGCACCGCCGCGCCCGGCCCGACGCCGCCGCTCTTATACGGCGGGAGGCGGCCACGCCAGCCCGCGGCCGAGGGGCAGCGGCGCGGGGCCGGGCCCGGCTAGCGGCCCTCCCCGGGGCACTGCGGGGCGGGGGCCGAGCCGGGCAGGGAGCCGACGGCGGCAGGGCGCGGGGTCACGTAGTCGCAGTGCTGCTTCCGGCGCCACTGAGACATGAGGCGGGCAGCCGGGCTCTCGTGGCCCTGAGCCGGGTCTGCGCACAGAACAGTGCGTTTCACTCAGTGCTCTCACCTCGTTCGCAGAATGACCGAATCCTCCCCTACGACGACAGGCTGAGGGAGCTGGGCTTGTTCAAGAGGGCTGAGGAGTGACCTCACTGCAGCCTTTCAGTACCTAAAGGGAGCCTATGAACACGAGGGGAATCAACTCTTTGAAAGGGTGGATAACAGCAGGACAAGGGGAAATGGTTTTAAGTTAAGGGAGGGAAGATTTAGGTTGGATGTCAGGGGGAAGTTTTTTACAGAGAGAGTGGTGAGGTGCTGGAACAGGCTGCCCAGAGAGGCTGTGGATGCCCCATCCCTGGAGGTGTTCAAGGCCAGGTTGGATGGGGCCCTGGGCAGCCTGGTCTAGTATTGAATGTGGAGGTTGGTGGCCCTGCATGTGGCAGGGGGTTGGAGATTCATGATCCTTGAGGTCCCTTCCAACCCAGGCCATTCTGTGATTCTGTGACCCAAGGCAAGCTATTACTGACTGCCAGCACAGAAAACAAACATCCAGGAAAAAGAAGTGCCACAGTAGCTCTGGGTTTTGTGTATTTCACAAAGGAAGTTAAAAAATAAAAATAATTTAAAAAAAAAATCATTGAGAATTTAATCATAGTATCATGGTTGGAAAAGACCTCTGAGATCACTTAGTCCAACCACCAGCCCATGCCCACTGAGCACGTCCCTCAATGCCATACCCACACGGCTCTTCAACACCCTCAGGGACAGTGGCTGCACCACCTCCCTGCACCATCTACCTCACCACTCTTCTTAGATGAAAATTTTCTCATTATCCAACCTGAATCTCCCCTGGCACAATCTGAGGCCATCATTCTCTCTCACCCTATTGCTGTTACCTGGTTCAAGAGGCCAACTCCCATCTCATGACAACCTCCCTTCAGGTAGTTGTGGACAGTGATAAGGTCTCCCCTGAGCCTTCTCTTCTCCAGACTGAACAATCCCAGTTCCTTTAGCCCATAAGACTTGTGCTCCAGACTGTTCACAGCTTCATTACCCTTCTCTGGATACTCTCCAAGGTCTTGATGTCTTTCTTGTAGTGAAAGGCCCAAAACTGAGCACAGTACTCAAGGTGAAGCCTCACCAGTACCAAGTACAGAGGTAAGTTGAAACTCAGCTGTTGCTTTTCACAAAGCTCAGCCATGTGTGCTGCTCTCCAGGTGCACACAAGTGAGGCCATTGGGTGCACGGCCAATCAACAGCTCACTGCCTTTGCCAGCAGGAGATGCTCACAGCCCTGCCCCACTAGCGAGCCTCTGTGCTCCTCACTGACCTCAGCCTTTGCCAGCGTGGTTAGAGAACATCTAAACAGGCTGTGTATTGACACACACCTTGGGTGAAAATTAACAGATGATGCACGCTCCAGGTTACAACACCAATTCTCCCTTCTGCCAAAGCATCAAATATTTTGAACTTAGACCTCTAGTTATGTGGCACAGTGCTCCTTTGACTTTTCTGTAATTGCTAACCCAGGCTTGCTGAAAGACAAAACCGAGGAATTTGTGGCTTCATTCACTCATGAGTGACTTCATGAAGACTGACTTGGCCTCAGGTTTAGCAGGAGTGGAAGAGAGATGCCAAAGGAGCTGGCCACTTCCCACTGCTGCACTGCAACCACAATGTTTACCACATGATGAGTGCTAGGGGGCACACAGCACCCCTGTGGCTTCTCACCAGCCAGTGGCTCAGAGGTGCTTGGTGAGCCCGCTGTTGCTGCACCTGGTAGGGCTCCTTGCACTCACTGTAATCCAGCTGCATGGGAGTGGTGCATCATCACAACCACTAATAGCACAAGGCATAGAGATCCCACAAGGGGAAAAAGTAGCCCCACCCAACAAGAGAGGGTGGTAGACAACTTCAAGGCTTGTAAAAAGAAAGCAGTTCTTGCATGTGCAGCTTCCTGAGAGGCTGCAGTTCTTTCTTCTTTTTCATGAGCCCAACCCTGCTGTTTCTTCATTTTTAGAGCCATCTCTGTCTTTTCTTTATTTACTTTTCTTAGTATATAGCTGGGGAAAGCAAGATGAGAAGTGGACATTGCCACGTGTTTGTTTTCAGCCAAACATAATTCATGGAATGAGCTTTCCTGCCTGGATCAAGCTTTCATCTGTCAGCAAGCAGCAGGTAGGTGAGCATGCTGAGAGCTCACAGCCATGTACTGCTCTGGGTGATCACAACCATGTCTGTAAGCGCTCACATGATTTGAACATTTGCCAAAGCTCAGCATTTACCTGCATTGCCTCCTTGAGAGAAGGCAGCACAAGGCTGGTAAGCAGCAAACTTGTGCCCGCTGATTATTTTATATGGTATCTCAAGTCTAACACACCTTGCTAGCACGCTGTCAAGGAAGTGAACGCAGAATGGATTAGGAGTCCTAAATAGGGGAGATCTTTTCTAAAAAGGATTGCACCAAGTTACCATGAAGTTGTATCAAAGCATTTAGCCCTAGAAGACCAGTTTCTGTCACAGAACTATCAAAAGTACCCTTTACTTATTAAGATTTATTGAGCAGGCTTCTTTAAGCATCGTTTCTTGTGTACTGGGTGCAAACCCAAGTAAAAGCATCGCAGAATGGAGTGCTATAACCGAGCACACGGTGTGGCCCCTCTCGCTGCAGATGGTTTCTCAAACACCGCTCACGCTGCCACATGTGCCTCCCGGCTCCTATGTCAGCACAGCACCTGCTAGCACTAGTTCCTGCCATCCCAGCCACCTCACAAAGCTCGAGTGTCAGGCCGGGCCTCTGCAGCTCTCCGCTCCGCCAGTGAGGAACAGGGTGCCTCAGAAAGGGTGAGCATTCTTCCAATGGAGCATGGCCAAGAAATGTTTCCTAATGCCTTGCTTTCCTGCTCTTTGTACCCCGTGTGGCCTGGATTTGCATTTTGCTTGCCTTGGGAAAAAGAAAGATCATTGATACGTCCTGTGGCAGCTGCAGAATTACAGCCACAATGGTGGCAGTATCAGTAACAGTGCCTTCAGTGTTCGCAGCTCTCAGGCACACAAGCCCTTCTTCAGGCCCAAGTCAGAAGCAAACCTCAAATTAACTGCAGGTTTGGGACAACTGCTCTGAGTTTAATTCAGTGCATTCAATCAGACAATTTGAGAGAAGTCTGTTTTCCGGACTAGCTGCCTGTGACCCATGTAAACGATGACTTGCATCACCTGGCCTACCCATTTCTCCACCTTTAGACTTATTTTGGCCAGGGGAGACAAGGGGACAGAAGGTAAGCCTGTGCCCTTTCAGAGATAGCAGAACAATGCTGAGCCATCAGCTGGAGGAGTGGAGCTGTCTGGCTCATCCATCCAGATGCAAATGGAGCCTAACTTATCAGTGATGCTGGGAAGCACCACCCCAGGAGATAAGAGAGGTGGAGCCATGGAGGAATGCGCCCAGACCCAACTGATCAGGTGGCAGCGGGTGCCCATGGGAATGATTTCTCCCCTCAGCTATCTCATCCCTACATTTCTGGAGCCAACACCATTTTCCCAAGTGGCACACAACACATTCTCTTTTCCTAAGTGCCATCCCCAGCAGACTCCCTGTGGTTACCGAGGCCTCAGCAAATATGAGGAGCGGCGTCTTGATGTCGGTCACAGGCTCAAAGGCTTTTGGACGACCAGAAAGTTTCCTGAAGACATCTTTTATGCATTGCTGTTGTATTAGGTTTGGAATTCCTCCTGAGGTCATGGGCCCACCAGTCTGGCTGGAAGAACACCTCTGTAGCCATTAGGGCACCCTGTAAAGGAATGCCTGTCGCAGTGCCCAGTGCTCATCTCCAGGATGAAGGCAGGTGGGGCAGCACCTGGGGGAAAACAAGAGACTGGAAAAAATGTCTTGAGGATGGCAGGGTAAAAAGAAGCCATAAAGGTGTCATTAGCAAGCCTAGCAGATTTAGAACAATGCCTCAGATAAGGCAGCCCAGCCAAAACAGATACCAGCTTCAGGGCTCTGGGAGAACAACAGCCCCAAACAAAAGGCAGAAAGGCAGGGCAAGGTGGATCTAGGACACAGGCCCAGCCATGAGAGGCCTGCTGGAGAAAGAGATTATCTGGAAGCTTTACTCATAGAGGCAGAGAAATTAATGGGCAAATACCTAAGGCTGCTTCTCCTTACACAGCAATATAAATTTACCCAAGCTACATGTGAAGGAATTATCTTTAGAAACACATGCATGCACATCTGCTATTTGAAAACAACTGCTATGTAATTTTTAGAGGAAAAAAATAGTTTTGCTTCAAGAAACTGTGCTTGCTGTCTGTCCCAGCAGTCTAGTTCTGCCCTATCACTGAAGAAGAGTCCACTTGCTGGAGTGGAGTGGAGCTCCGGTGCAGTTATTCCAGGATAGAACCACAGAAATCGTTGGGTTTGGAAGGAACCTTTGAAGGTCATCAAGTTGAATTCCCCTGCAGTGAACGGGGACACATACAGCTACATACAGCTAGGATGCTCAGAGCCCTGTCCAGCCTGTTGGGGATGGCCCAGACTAGTGGGCAATGCTGCAGAATTGCACCCTAGAAGGTGCCAAGGTTTGCTGTGCCATGATGCTGGCATAAAGGAAGATTAAGAAGCAGAACCAGAACCCAGGACCCTGCAAGTCTTCACATATCCCTAAAGCAGCAGTACTAAGCCACCCCATTGTTCCTCCTCTCTGCCCTTTGCCAGTACTTTTCCCTTGCATGCCTAGCTCCCAGATTGTGCAAGGAGCTTCCTCTTACTCATTAATTCACATCAAATGAGTGTTTTCCCAATAGATGTGTCAATTCCCTGCAGTGCTATACCCATCATAGGTACTAGGATCGTCTCAGTTCACACCGATCGTGATGACTGGCTTGTCATGTTAATCTCAGTTCACATAGGTACATTTAGTAATTCAGGTACTGCGCACAGTTCTTGCTCTGCCACCTCTGCCACACAGCCTGCATGGCTGGGCATCACCCATGGTGGCAGTGAGATATGACATCAAAACCAAGCGTGAACTTTAAAGGTTGTTTTTAATGGTCAAGCATTTGTCATTTCTCCTTGTATGGTTTGGGATTCATGATGCAAAGGGAATGTTATACCAAGGATGCATGTAATGGCAGAGCCAAAGCACCAGTTACAGTTGGAAAGTGTTTTCTCTTTAGGTAAAGACAAATCCAGAGACAGTGGTGCTGGGAATCACCATGAAGGCTCTACTTATGTTTGGGAGAGTTTGGCCCAAGTTACCATCAACAAGTAACCAGATTGTCATGGCTGTCGGAATTCTCATTTCTAATGACTGCAAACCAGCAGCAGCTGTTCAAAAAGAAAACAAATGGCAATACCCATGCCCTTCTTTGTCTGTCTTTCCCACATCCCACGGATAACCGGACTGTACTTTCAAAGAGATGAGAGGCCACCAGTCAAAAAGCCACTAAAAGGCAGCCCCTTGCTGGAACCAGCAAGCACACCTTCAGGGAAGAAATCTTTATCCTAAAAATCAGCTGACATTCTGTCACTCATGGCGTCTTCCTACTGCTGTTCTTCTCCTCTCCTCTGTACGCACCTTCATTCCCCTTTTCCTTCTTCCATTTGGTTTTCTTCCCAGCCGTGGGACTCAGTGCCCTGTTCCAGCTGCCCCACTCCAGCTGGAGTTAGTACGTCCACTCACACACACATAGTTCACTGCCCTGCTCCTGTCTCACTTCACCATGGCCTCAGGCACACACACACCCCGTCCATATCCCTCCTGGACAGGAAGGATGCTGTCGGGGTTGCACAGCTGTTCGCTCTCCATCCTTGCTTTAGCCGCCTCCTTTCCTGCCTTCTCCCCAGCCCTGGGGCAGCAGCAGCTTTGGTCAAGCAGCATGGTACAGCATAGCGTCGGCCTGTGTGAGGAGGGGGAACTACAGCAGTACATCAAGCAAAACCCACACACAGCAGCAGCCCGGGAAGAGGCTCGTGCCAATCTGTTCCTTGTACAGCACCAGCCAGTTATTTGTGCATGTGTGAGAGTGTACAGGGAAGAGGCAGGCAGCCAGGCCTCAGATCCCTCTCTATAACTTAATTTGTACAACCAAGAGAAGCAGACATACCAAAACATGAGCAGACAGACAAAAAAGTGAGACCAGTGCAGCAAATGGTCTGTCACATTTGCTGGGCTAGGCAGAAACCAAAGCCAGGCATGGACTATTTGCTAAATACAGCACATCAGCGCTCAGCTACTTTTTGGGGGCAGGCTGAAGGGAAAAAGTTTTCCTTCACGTTTTGGCTTGTTAAAGTGTTACAAGCTCAAGTGGAAATGATTTACTCCTGATGGATGTGGCGCTGCTGTTGGACTGATGAGTTTAATAACCTATGGACACGGAGAGTGAAGCCCTAAATAAATCACAACAAATGAAAATACTGTTAGCAGTTTCATAATTTAATGAAAAAGTACTTGTAAAAAGGGGACATCTGAAAAAGACCGAGTCCATCTTGGAAAATTGAATATATATATATATATTTATATATATAAAACAAAATGCAAAAACACAAAAAAAAAAAAAAGAAAAATCAACAAATAAGGTTAAGAGGTAATACTTCAAACAGTTAGCCACCGAACACACAATAAAAACTAGCAAATGCACTTTGGGAACAATACTTGAGAACTACACAACCAAGGGCTCCTTCATATATCTATTAAAATCACGTAAAAATTAGCAAAACCGTTGCCCAGGAATGAATAACCCCAGAAGAGCAGAAACACTGAGTTTTGCTGAAGCACCATTTTCCTCACCTCCTCCACACGCTGCTGGCCACAAAATGACATGAACACTTTGCTCACCTCCCAGTGCAAGCTGCGTGGAATTTCGTGACCAGCAAGAGGATTGCTAATAAATATCGAAGGAGAACTTAGAGAATCAGAACTGGAACACAAATGCACAGACATCTGTTTCCTTATTCTGAACGGCCCATGGCTTAGAACGCAAAGCATTTCCCTTTAAAATAAAATATGGCGAAACCTAAAATGCTACTGTATATTTACACCAAAAGAAATAATTTTGAAGATACAGCTCTAGAAAGACAAATTACACAAATATACATAAAATCAAGAAGTGGGAGGGAAAAAAGAAAAAAATAAGATGCATGAAGCAAATAGATTAGAATTGCCAACTATACTGGGTTGTATTTTTTTTATTGTTATTTCACTACAGAAAAGTCCTCCAGCCTTGACCTGCTAGTCCTATTGTAAGTAGAGAGATTTCAAAGGTTAAACCAAATCTGAAAATGTTGCTGTAATTTCCTAAGCAATAAATTAAGATGATAAAGGAAAGCAAGCTGTTGTTTGGGTTCTGCACAGTCATCTTTACGCGGGGTGTGAACCTTCCTAGACAAAATGAGCTCTCTAGGGACAGAGGGTGCTGCAGATGGCTGGAACGTGCAGCACGGCTGGGAACAGTGCAGTAGTTTTGCCTGGAAAAGGAGAAATTTGTCTCTATTCAAACAAAAAAATCCCGGATCACATAAACAAGCCAGAAGGGGTTTCCCCTTGCTTCTCACCTCCTCCACACCGTTGAAATTTAAACACCAGTTAACAACTGGCTTTAAAGCACATGCAAAAAGCTTTAGTTTGGGAAACAGCAACTGATCCACAGGTTGAAAAGCTGCTTAATGGAAGCAATAAGTTTTCAGCAATAAAAAACATACTCCAGATGATGACTGGCTAAAATTTTACAGTCCTAGATGCCAGAAGCAGGGCTTTTAAGCCCACATTTAGGCAGCTAGGGTTGAAAATTTGTGCCTACGTAAAAAATTCGGACAAAATTATTTCTAATTCAGCTTATTTTAAAAACACCAGGTACAAATACCTCTGTACGTGAAAACTCAATTTCAAGAGGAACCTGGCATCACTGGTGATTGCCTAAATGTAAGTGTCAAATAGCATTTTTCTTTGAAGTAGTACATCTACTTTTGTAAACACTATCCACAAAATTAGCCATCTGTACTTGTTAGCTGGGTAAAATATTTACAAGTGCATCCCACAACAAGCAGCTATGTACAGAGATTAAAAAAAAAACTGAAGTACTACAAGTTGTATATTTACAAAATAAGCAAATTATTGTGAAGAGAAACACAACCCTCAGCAGGAGCGGGGAGCAAGGGCACAACAGAGGTCAGCAAGTTTGGCAGCTCCAGCGACACCTGCTCCAACTTCCACAAGGAGCCTGCAGGCACCCCTGCGGCTGGAGCCCCCCCGCAGGACGGCAGGGGACCGTCACTTAGTAGTCGCTTGGGCCTGATCCAGCAGAGCACGCCGGTACGTGCCTGGGGAGCTGAGCCCTGAGTTCTGGGAGAAATCAGTGGGACTCAGCACAGGAGTAGCTCTAACACGTACCTAAAGTGCCTTGCTGGATCAGAGCCGCGCTGCAGGTGCCGTAAGAATGCGGTTTCAGTGTCTCCATTCGCGGTTCCTTGCAACACGCCAGAGCAATGCAAGGACTTCTCTAATGCCTGTCCACCACAAGACTGACATGAGGTGGACATCTGGCCTCGCGCACGTGCTGGCAAGGAGGAAGCAGTTTCCTGAATTTACGTAAGGATCAACCGCTTCATGCTTTCCCAGATGTTCAACTCTAATAGAACCCATAATTTCTTCGTGGCTTTGCAATAGCTCGGTTAACCTTGCAAAGGCTGCAAGCCAATTCACAGTTGAACAGAACTACTCTGATTTCACTCCCCTTCCCATCTCCCGCTGCAGTTCTTCCTAACGTAGCTCCTGTGCTGTTTTCTGGAACCTGTGGATGCTGAGCTTTGCACTGGTACACCAGAATACACAAAGGCTGAGTTACCCCGTGGGGGCTTCTAATCACCTTTGTACCGAACTGTGAGAAATCATATTCTTTTTGTTTCTATTGTGACACTCTCTTCCAAAGTCCTTACTTGGGCTTTCTCTCTCCGAGCTACTCCGTCTTAACCTCATTTGCTCTTTATTTTCATCGCTTTCTGCTTCAGAGTCACTCAGCTCCAAGTCGGGACAGTAGCCATCATTGTCCTGGTACGGAGCCCCTTCGAGCGTCTGCTTGCTCCACAAGCGTTCTTTTGCTGTGAGCCTTCTTGTTGGCTTCTCACAGCACCGCAAATCTTCCGTTGTCCTCACCAGACTGTTAGTGGCCTCCTTAAAGGACCGGCTAAAGTGTTCGATGGTGGATTTTCTAAAGCCGCTCTGGCTGGCCAAATGAGCCGTCAGCACAGACTCCTGTTCAAAGGGCGTCTGGCTGGAGCTGTCCCTCTGGCTCACGTCGCCAGTCCTGCCCATCAGCCCATTGGATTTGGCCACCAGCCGCGAGCCATCCTGCTGCAGCCGCCCATTCCCGATGGAGGACTGTCCGTGCAGAGCAGCCTGCAGTGCCAGGGGCTTCCCTGATGGTTGGCCCCGGTGGAACTCTGGCACCTGCACAAGACCGGAGTCCTTCGCCTCGCCACGAGGCTTGCCGATCCCACCTGTCACAAGCAACCCATTACTTCTGGTGTCGTGCTGATACCTGGGGTAAGATTTGGCTTTGATTTCAAATGCTTCCTTTGACATCGGCACGCTCCTTTTGCTGTAAACAGTGCTGTTGTTGTCAGGAGAGAGCGGTCTGCTGCCTGGCTTCAGCGAGTTATTTTTGCAATCTCCTAGTGCTGATTTGGGCATTTTTAACTTCAGGGTGATCCTGGGAGGTGGGTAGAACAGTGTGTTCTCTAGTGCACTTGTCAGGGTATGGCCTATGTGAGAAAAAGATGAGGAAGCAGAAGATGAGAAGACTTTCAAAAAAGAGGTAATCGCTTCTTTACCTGTAGGGTTTTACAGACTATGAGAAGGTCATTCAACAAGAAGCGTTTGCAAACAGTTACTGTGAAATTATGTTAGGACATTAAAGAGAAGTCAGGCAACTGAAAACAGCTCCGTATCACTTACCAGCTCAGCATTTAGGTACGCATTTTAGAATTTGGATTAAAAACAATAACGTCCTCTTTCATGGGACTTTAAGCCAGTGAATTGAAGCAGTTTTGAGATGTGACTGAAGTAGTTCCAACGGAATTATAAAAAGCTCACATCCAGCTTTGGATAGAGAAAAAACAATGCTTCAAGCTGAGTTGCACTTTGGACTTAGTTCAGTTCTCTGCTTTGTTTTATAAAATTCTCTGTTTTAAAACTCTTTTCACTCCAATATATTAGTCACTGTGATATAATACACTTGCATCACCACTGCAAAATAGCTATCAAAACATTCTAATAAGCTTTAAAAAGCACTTGGCTTTGTCTTAGTAGACATTTCTAATAAAATCTCATTACACAGAACCAAAGTGCTTTAGAGTACTGCTGCTTCCACCAAGTATTGTAGAGTCAACAGAATGGCCTGGGTTGAAAAGGACCACAGTGATCATCGAATTTCAACCCCCCTGCTCTGTGCAGGGTCACCAACCACCAGACCAGCTGCCCAGAGCCACATCCAGCCTGGCCTTGAATGCCTCCAGGGATGGGGCATCCACAGCCTCCTTGGGCAACCTGTTCCAGTGTGTCACCATCGTCTGAGTGAGAGCGTGTCCTGGTCTCATCCAAAACAGTTAAAAAAACAAACAAAAACCTGTCAGTGCCAACAAAACTTATCCATGAGTAGTGAAAAAACACAAAGCTTTCACTTTAAGAAGGTTATGGAAAACACAAGAAGTATCTTGAACAAACATCAAGATTTCTATTTCACGCTGCAGAAGCAATTACCTTCCTATTAAAAAAAAATAAATGGCACTGTAATATATACTCTTTCTCTTTCCAAATCATAAAATATCCCAAATTGGAAGGGTCCCATAAGGATCACTGGGTCCAGCTCCTGGCTCTGCATAGGACCACCCAAAGTTGTGTTCCTCATTTCAGGACACAGATTTAATAACAATTAAGGGTGGAGTTTGTTTTGGTACAAAGCAGTTACTATTCACTGTTAGAAACAAGAGTGCTTAAACTCTTTTTGAAGGAAGTTTAGTAACTGCAGACCACAAGCTAAGAAAGGCCCCTCCGTAATGCTCATCAAGTAGTCAAGGCAACATGAGAACAGCAATTCCTATCAGTCACTCTTCTCTTCTGCCGGAAGAAATTAACTACAGCAAGCAAAAAACTTCTCAGTTGGAGAGTAGAGCTTGCTGTGGGCAAACAGCAGCACGAAACAGCAGCCCAATGAAGCAAAAACCTAGAGATCTCCATCAGTTTGTTTCTGCTTCCTGGATGCCACAGTAATTGGAAACTAACTGGCATATGGCAGCAGCATCTATGGAGTAAGAAGAGATCCAACCCAAGATTTTAAAACATCAGTGTTTGTGGATGTTGCTAAATTAATAAATGGTATATCCAAAGAAAGTTTTTATAAAGGCAGCTGTCAAACATTAAAACACTAAGCAGAAATTTAATGGGAACTTTTTTTTCAGTTTGTTGTAACTTATAAATATTTTACATTCATATGATTACCTGCAGCAATTTCCTGATTAATGAGCTGAACTTGCAAATTGAAGACCTGTTCATGTACTTTACTGTGAGACAGCTTCAGTTTCTCTCTCCTGCTTACCATGTAGCAGAGATTTCTTACCTGCAAAAGAAACAACACTCAGTATAAAATTAAAAAAAAAAAATAAATCCTGACTTAGGAAAAATATTGGCTCAACAGCATAATTATAGAAACATTGTGAGCAAAATCCCTTGGCAAACACCTCATGAATGTTACTGAACAGATGTAACTATGAATATAAAACAAATCCTGCATTTTTTTTTTAATTGCCAGTTTACTGAATGCCCTGATGAGACAGCAGAATGTATTTTCATACATTCTTCATGAAGAACAGAAAAGGAACACAAAATTCCAGTCAAAGGAAAAGCACATGATCTGTACAGCTTGTCTGTTTGAAGCCTACTTCCACCACACATTATTGCTGGGGATCTTGCTGTAGTCAATACTCAGTTCTCCCAGAATTTCCTTGCAAAATGTTTCACGGAATGATTTTTAACAGCTAAATTTGTTCGTTTCTCCTAGGATTACTGTTACATTGGAAAGTAATACTTTTAACAAAGCTACTCAATGGAGCTGGCACGCCTGGACTTTACGTTTGCACATCTGGAATTAATGTGTAAATCACCCCTAAAAGAACACTGCAGCTTCTTGTGCATTTTACACATTTTTGTTGATTCATTCAGCAGTTTATTTTCAGACTCCATTGCAATTCTGCTTTCACTGTTGGAGTTAATAGCAATATTTCCACCTAGCGTAACGAAAATAGGAAGAGATGAAGAAAGTTGTGATACAGACCTGAAAGAGCCTGCAGAACACAGAAGCAGCACAGCGGCTGGCTGAAAGATACTTGCCACGTGTACTTCCCCCCAACACTTAACTTGAGCTGCTCAGAAACTGAAGCCTCTCTCCCCAGAAAGGAAATTCCAAGATTCCCAAATTAATTTTCACCTAAAGACATATCTGAACTGGAAATCTTACGGTGTGGGAAATTCAGAAACTTTGAGATAGATTTCAAACTACCAAGTCCCTCCACTCAAAGTAAACTCATCCATTTCAACACAGTCAGATATAAAACAACTACTCTTCGAACAAAAAGGAAAAGCTTGAAATGCTTTATTGAGAAAGCAGACAAAAAAAAAACAAAAAACAAACCTTCCATTCAAAGCATGTTATGTATGTATAGAATATACATACACAACATATTTAGGTAGGGAACAAATTCCTGCTCCGTATTTTGCTCAAGGACTCCATCTTTTCTGAATGCTGGCTAGCTGATAATCTGGTAAAGAGCCAAGCTGAATACTGGTAAAAAGATCATTTCCTTTTTACTCTACTCAGCAAAGCCACAGGCAGTGCTAGACCTGGTGGGTTGTTTTCCAACAGCTAACTAACTGTAGCATCCTGGGCAGCTACGTGCAGGGAAAGTGTTCAATTTAAGAGCATGAGATGTGATTCAGCCTTCCCTTACCTAGGGCTAGCTGACAACAGCACGCTGTCAAAGAAGGGAGGTGAGTAAGGGGCCTGAATCAGGTGCCACGGGAAGCCGTCTGAGCACAAGCCAGCATTCTTCTTCGTGTGTGAAACCAAAAAGCCTCTACAGTAGTTAACCCAGGACTTCACCTAATTGCCCTTTAACTATGAGGGCGAGAAGGTCTGTTTCAAGTTTTTGCAGAATTCCTAAAAATGTTAAATCACACTCACCAAAGAGTACTTGGTGCTTTACCTAGGCAAATTCAATTTACATTGAAATCGAAGAGTCAGTGCTCAAGTGTGTCCGTTGTGCATGGAAACAGTTACATTATATAAAGGAGAATCCTCTAAGCAAGGCAGGAAGCGTGGTGCTCACAGTGGATCTCTCGCTGAACTGAAAAGGGACAGCTCCTGAAAGTCTCTGCAACATGCAGCGTACCACCAGAACGGAGTTCAAGCCCTTACCTTTTTATCATTATTATTTCATAAATCATCTCCCTGCGCTTCTCTCATCCCCACTTTTGTTTGGACAAAGCTGCTGCTCACTTGCACATCGTTTTTGCCAGTTAAACTCTTACCCTCTCTAGGTCCTGCCTCAAATGCATGAACATCCTCATGCGAGTATGAATGCTATCTTCTTTTGGCTGCACCAAGCCATTTTCTTCATCCTCCTTGGGAGGAAACAAAGGTTTGTTAAAGTTACTTTTTCGCTTTAGTTTCCAGTAATTGTAGATGAAGTCTACAGCAAGTTTAGGGAGGCCCAGTTCTGCTGCAACATCCTCCACTTTAACCAGTGAGTAAAACTCTTCTTCCAGCTCCCGGAGTTTCTGGGCTCGCAAACTGGTTTTCTCACTCTCTGTTTGCTTCTGATCTGTTATGCTCTTGGGATGTTCATCAACATCAGGCAGCGAATTCTGTTTGTTCTTGCTGTGCTTTAGACAGTATGACTTGAATTTGACCTCATCCCCATCATCCAGGATAGTCTTCATCTCTAAGCTATGCTCAAAGGCACAGGTGACATGAAAGGCAGTGATGCAGCTTTTCACTGAACACTACAAATGAAAGACATAAAACAAGAAAGTCACTAAGGGTAGTCACAAACCAGGAAAAAAACATAATTACATGAAACTTCGTCCCTACGAAACCAAATTTAAGTACCCTGAAGAAGTCAGCTGATATTTCTAAGTCAGAATCACGTGATTTGTTATTTTTTCATCTGTGAACAGCATTCAGTGATTTCTGATCCAATTGGTGGATTTCTGATCCAACTTAATGCATCTCAGCCTCATTCAAAGGAAGGCAATTGATAGAAACTTCTCACTCTCTGTGCTAGACTGCTTAGGGAACCAATTTGTTAGCAGCCACAGTGATATGGATAGGGAGCTATCCAACAGTTGTCTTCACTGAATAAAGTTCAAAAACCTTAAAGTCCCCATCTTGCAGACTCAAGAGTCACAGGAAGACAAGTACGTACCTGAATGCAAGCACCGGTTTTCAGTTTGCATAAACTACACACTAAAGCCCATCGACTTGGTGGAATGTGAGAAACCTTTGTGATCGGCTCCATCCTTTCTGGGCAAGCAATACTAACCTGAAAATAAAAGACAGCATGGAAAGCAGTTATCAAGGCAATAAAAACAAGCTCTTCGCTAATACCAGAAGTACGGCTGCGAGTATGACCGCCATTTATCTCATTCAGAGATCTCTGTGTGCTCATACTTCATAACAAGTGACTTGAGGAGATTCCACATGAACAAAACAATATTGTGGAATGCAATTAGTTTAACCTGGTGGCTAGAAGTCGTCATTTTTCAGAACGTTTTAGGCAGCTACAGCATGCCTTGTTATGAACCATTTAAGAGACTGCAGCAAGTGATAGCAAAGTTTATTCCCTTTCAATTCTGTCCATCTACTCACTCTGATAAAAATTTATCAGCCAATATTTGCCCATATTGGGAAACTAAGACTGTCCTCTATAACTTGGGACACCAAAACAGATGAAAATTATCTCCTTAGTCATCCCCAAGATGCTCCTGAGCAATAGGATTTACCCAAGGGCAGAACAAAATTAGTCAGCTCTGAGTGATCAACATGCAGAAGTGGGTCAGTAACCAAATGGCACGTGGCAGAAGACTTCGGTGACATAACTGCTCTGCCCCAAGGATGCCAGTTTCCAGAAGCTTGGATTTTGGATGCTTACATAAAGATCAAAAATCTTTTGAATACAGTGGTTGTACGCTAGGGAGGGCTACCTGCCTGAAACAGAAATACGGCGCTTCGTCCAGCTACAAAGAGCTCCACGCTTCTTACTGACAGTTCACCTGTTTTGCCACTGGTGGGATAGGGGCCTCTTTGCAAAGGTACTTCAGCTATCACCTGATGCACACATTAATTTTAAAACCTGCTTAATCCCTGATGAAGAAAAACTTTGTTTCACCAGACCTCCTCTGTGAGGCAGGCATTGCCAAAGATAGCAATGCCAACTTTAGCAAGTCTGAAAGTCCAAGTTGCTACTCCCAAACTGAGTATTTTTGACACTCTCTCTTTCCTATCTTTTTCACTGTTTTGAACAACAGACAAGTAGGTGAGAAAGAAAGCTTTGCAAGAGATTACTCCATCCATTATTTTTGCATTTTAAGAGGTTGATTAGTAGTTTGTAAACCAATGACAAAAATTGACTCCAATAAGATTTGTTATATAACTTAAACCAAGCCATATTTTCTGCAATATGCCAAGGTCAGCCAGTGTTGTATGGCATTCCTATTTAGCCCAGTGACAATTGTGTGCACCCATCTCTGATCTACAGCGTCCAGGAGGCCCGTAGCAGCTGCACTCAGCCTTCTCTTTGGCCAAAACCAGAGTCAGAAAAATTCTTGGGGAAAAACAACAGGACTTTGCACCTAAAAAATGGGCAGGCAGTATGCAGTGTCCTCATCAGGTAGAGATGAAGAATAATTTCATTTGTTGAGGACTTCCTATAAATCAGCGGGAAAGAGACAAAGCTGTCCTTGAAACTCTTGAATGGTTCCACAAATTCAGGTTCAGCACTCTTAAATGGCAAAGGTAGCTTTTCTGCTTCCAAATTGACCAATCCAACTTGACCCTGCTAAGAACAGAGCTGGTTACAAGTTGTACAGGTACTTCTAAAATAACATTGTACAAACATTGACCACAAATCTTGTTTCATTTACTAGAGCAGTAGGCAAGATTTCCCTTGGGAATTATGGGGTTGCATCAGTTTCCATGTTGCCTATATACCTTTCAAAAAAGTAACCTGAAATGTCAGTGATTTTTTCTGTAGGCAGTTGCACCAGCTTTTCACTGTGCATACCAGCAGGAGTTGGAACTCACACATACTCTTCTTGTTACTCTTTGCCCCTTTTCATCCTCTCCTTGCTCCTTCTCCAGAAATATTTATGTTAGAAATATTGCCCATTCAGCTTGCAATGCTGCCTGTTTATGTTACTCCACTTTGTAAAAACACAAAGAGGTGCTTGGAGTCAGGTGCAGTTTATTTATACTGGCCTCCTGCCGCCTGCATGTTTCTAACGTTCAAAGAGAGGAGTCAAAGCAAAGCCTGTTTGAATTTCACTGTTCATGAGGGATCCAGAGAGCACAGAAGCCAACCTTTCCACTTCCCAAAACCTCCCATCCCGAGACAGAAATGACCGCCTGCCTTAACACATAGCTTCTCTGTCATTTCTCCGTGTTGTGTCCGGTTACATTTTGTCTGCCATACTCTGAAGAAGTAACAGTGGGAGAGAGTGAGAACAGCGGGCTGTTGAAGCCTGCTCTCTCCAATTTACGCACAGAGCTGACATCTCTGTTGTCACCCTGCTATCTGCTGCTCCGCTGATGGCCTGCCACCAGCAGCTGTGTGTTAGCGGGCAGTGATCCGCACCAGTGGCTGGGGAGGCACCCCAGCAGCTGGAGCACAGCCACTCACAGCAGCGGCTGAAGGCGGTCATTTGATAGTTCTGCAGCTGTAGCAAGGAAAAATTACTATCTGCTTCAGCCAACAACGCACCGACCAAGGGAAGACGTATCTGCCATCCGTCATCTAAGGCAGAGAAATGAATTTCAAAACAACGTAAATTTTCTGATGTCAAAGTTTCTCCCTTTTTTCCAAGAATATCTTTTAAGAAATCACGGAAGAAGAGACACGTTTACACTAACAAGACAATGCTGGCAGAAGAATAAAAAGGATAAAAATCAACAATGAGTACGCTTTGTAAAAACCTTCAAATGTCCCAAACTCACTGAGGGTCAAGACAGCCTTCCCACACCATTAGCTCACGAGGAGAGGGAGGCAGGGAAGAAACAGAACAAAACAAAGCATTCTAAGAGGGTGCTGAATATATTGGTGATGGGAAATACCTGATGCAACTGCCTACAACAGTGCCAGCCTGTATTTATGAACTCACTCAAGTCCCTCTTGGATCTTTTACCACAAACATGAGGATGGCTCATTTTCCTCTGCACTCTGCCTTGCTCCATTTTGCTAGGGGTGTAGTGGGGGAAGTGGCAGTGACTTTATTATTTGTTTCTTTGTGGGGTGTTCCAGGGGAGTAAACATTCTTCCACAAGGTATTTCAAGGTCTTGAAAACTCTGTCCCTTTCTAGTCTCCCAGAGCACATAAAGCCATGGTGTCTCTCCACATAAGAACCCACTGTTTTAGCGGAGATTCTCAAAAAAAAGCCAGGCTTCTCTGGTGATGGAATTGTAGTTCATTTTGTTTTTAAAAGCACCACGTGCAGAAGAAGAGGCTGAACGGATCCAAGAGGCATTTCCCACTTCTCCTGGCAGGTGCCACCTCCTTGCTATGCCTGACACACTTGGCATGGGCACAGAGAGGAGGAGGTGCCTGAGGCCTGGAGCCATTGACTGGGCTGTGGGAGCAGCTGGATTCAAGCTCTCCCACCTGGGCAACTCTGCTGGCAGCTCTCCCTCAGCCGGAGGGAGGTGGGCAGGTAAGAAGCAGCAGGTGCTCCCTGTCCCATGGTCAGCTGCTTTCCAAACCTGCCAGTTCATCTCCTGCTGGGGAGAACATCAAGGCAACCACATGCAGAAAGAACCTCTTAGGGAAACCAGTCTGCTCAGAGCTAGGACAACTTCCAGACAAGGCACTTTAGGAGTGCATGAGGAGAAGGCAGGAGACTTTTATTTATTCATTTTAATCTTTTTTTGTTTTGTTTTGTTTTTTTTCCTCTGCTCCTTTCTCCCTAAAAGTGGGTGAGACACCAGATCTACAAGCTGGCCTGAAGGGAAAGCAGAACTGCAAAGATAAGCCCACTGATAATCAGATATATGCCTGGCACAGAGCTAGGAGTTGTGCACCGCAACAGGCTGCCATATTAAAAAGCCATCCAGAATCTTGACATCTTCTTTGTGAAGTTGTGCAAATGCAAGGCCTGGCTGCTTGAGAGCAGAAGGTTTGGGAATAAGGCACCCAGCAATGTCATGGTGCCAACAGATGTGGCTGCAACCTCACACTACGCCATTCACTCTAAGGGATCTACGGATCTTACCAGAAGGAAAGCACAAATATCATTCTGAGTACAAAATTAAACACACACGTCCTCTATACCTGAATGACTATTTCAATTTACAGAATTATAAATGATGCTAAATCTGATTCTAAATGGAGGAAATGTAAAGTTTCATCATTAAGCTCTATATATGAACACAAGCATCAATCTGAATAGTCATTCTTAAAAAATATAACATAGAAGAAAAAAGCCTCATCTCTCCACCATTCAGGAAAATGTCTCATTTTAGTGCAAAGAACTTGTCTACAAACATCTCCCCATCTTAGAATCCATCCAATACATCATAGAATGGCCTGGGTTGAAAAGGACCACAATGATCATCTAGTTTCAACCCTGCTGTTATGCGCATGTATATCATCCAATGATGATGTGTGATATATATCATAAAATATGCCCGGTTTTTTGTCTCAAAAAAAAGAAAAAACAAAAAGGACGTATTCAGTGCAAATTATACACCTAACTGAGAGCACACAAACTGATCAAGAACTAAGGGAGACAAGGATGCTGCAGTTGTGCAGCGATCACTGGCTTACATCACTAAACCTTTCCAGCAGGTCACTCAGATCTCATGACACCATGAAGAGACTGCTCAGTAAATGGGGAAGGACAAAGAGATTAATTAATTAATGAACATGAGCTGGACTCTCTCCAGATCTCTTCAACAGATTCTGCAGACTCACCAGAATAACACCCATGCAGATACCTTAAATCATGAGAATGTGAAAAGGTAGAGGAAGGAACACTGAGAAGGCAGAGAAAGGAGATTAGAATACAAAAGAATGAGACAGAAATTCAGCTTTACCTCTGGAATCCAGAGAGCACAGCTCACATGTGCCCACTTGGTCCCTGTCCTGGTGGCTTTCATTGCACCTCCTCGTTTTGGACACAGGAGGCACTGAGGATGTATTCCCAGAACACAGGTGCGGCACAGCCAGCTTCCTTCAGGGACTTTCAAGATTCCATAGCATGCCTTGGAAGAGCACAGGGATTGAGATCATTGCACTGATAGTATTTGACATCCAAAGATTAATTCTCATATGGCATGAAGCTTACAAATCCTAAAAGCACAGTTTGCCCTTTACTTAATCTTTCTCTAATTTCTTTTCCTTAAAAGGAGTCAGGTGATCAAAGAGATTGACAACCTATTAAAACAAGCCTTTTCGTGCCAGTTTATTTTTAAAACATGTCTTGGTGTTATTTGTTCCTGTATGAAACAGCCATTGTAACTGAACACTGGTGTTACAACCTTCACCTTTGCATTCAGTGTCTTTTTATGTTTCTGAAGCAAAAAACAGGCATCTCTTTAAGCTCATAGTCTTCTACTGTTAACAACTTTATGTTCTAATGTTATTCTATTCAGATGTGAAGTGATAAGAACTGTTTGAAGATTCTTTCCTGTGACATTAGATTACTTTTGTGGTTACAGTTCTGAGAACAGTTTGTGACTTCAAATATTTATATATAATATTGTCTCAAAAATTACTACAGTATATTCTGAAATCATGAGGTTCTGCTTTTTATACCTGTTTCCCTGAGGCCTCTTAGAAACTGAGAGATTTATTAACTTTTACTAAGTTTGAAGATAAAAATGAAACTTACATTCAGGTTCAGGTTCCTAGCAGTTCTTAATGGCTAACTATACCTGCACTAGACACATCCTGCTGCATGGACACACGTATTCAAGCTGACCATATTTGAAACCATTGGTTACCAAGGTGCAACTCCACTCAGCTGCCCCCAATAACAGCTTTACCAGTAAAGCAGATTTCAAAGGAAATAACACCATTCCCAACACATACCAGGGAACAGGAACACTGAAAGCCTTGACAGAAGATTATTAGGTATAACCCAGTCTCTTAGATTCAAATCTAGTACAAATTCCCCATGCTTGCTTTCCCAGCCTTCTGGTTATAGGGTCTTGGTACTTAATGTGAAGAGATGTCCAATCATGCTATGCTGAGAGGGAGAGTGAGTTCCCTGAATGAAATCCTGCATTACGAAAGCATCAAGTCAGACTAACCCAAACGTTATTTTCATGTTTGACTGTTGCAAAGGCCCAACAGGGGGAGCTGTAATCTAAATTTTACAAAAGATTTTTATTTCCTGCTAAATGGTACATTCTCATCAACACTTTCTATTACCAACTGCAAGGTTTGGAAGGGACTTCTAGAGATCATTGAGTTCAAGTGGCACTACACCAAAAGAACACTTTTAGGAGGCTGGAAATGGACATACAACACTTCCTAATTCAATCCAGCTAATAAGTGGAGGTGGTCTAGACTAGAAAACCAGTAATTTAGCAATCTGAGCCAGCATGAGAGGGCACTGCGAGGGAGGAAACCTCACACACTCCTCTGCATCTCCAAGTGGTGTTCTGACAAACAGACCCGAGGCTGCTTGGTGAACTAGAGCCCATCCAGAATTAAACCTGAACTGATAAATATTTTTGGTTGGTTGTTTGCTGCTATGCTTTGTTAGGATTAGCTCCAGCCCAGCTTCTGCAGAGCAGGTCCAGATCCTGTGGCTGGGGAAGAGGCAGAGTTAGAAAGCAGCAGGCCATCAGCTCCAGCTCTGCAGGCAACCCCAAGCCTTGTGCTGCAAATTCCTCCATATTTTCAAGGGGCACAAGCAGGGGCTGCCTCTGGAGCCAACAGCCCAGCTGTAAAATTCCTTCTCAAACAGGATGCACTAGAAACCACAGGGCTCAAATCCACTTTAGTTATGAGGATACCTCTGCCTGATGAGGCTGAGCTCAGCCTGTGCGAAGACCTGCCTACATATGAAACACCACAATCATGAGCAGCATTCAGACTGAGAGCACAGCTCTTGCAGGTGCTCGTGCCCTCTAAAAAAATCAGTCTGTTAACGCATCTAAACACATGGTTTCAAATGGCTAAATTTGGAGCCAATTAACCAGTCAACTAATGAGAGAAATGCCCCAGCTGCAAAACAAATGATCTTTTAACATATAGGCTGCTGCCAGCATCCTCTGGCCTGTTTATTTACAAATGCAGGTTTACTGAGGATGTGGAGGGGAACTGTTTATGATTGTATTTGCAAGTCCAGACAACACTTCACGTTACAGCTAGACTACACAGACTATGCTCAGCCACTTATCTGCTGTAATTCTCAGAGTACAAAACTTGACCTTGGTATTCTACATCACCTTTCATATCCAGAGAATCACAAAGGCCTCCAAATTAATACTGATTCAAATTCCACACTTGCCAAGGTAAAGAAAGACAGGGCAGCGTCAATACTTCTGCAGGCACTGACCTGATGGACGCAGATATTACACTTGTCACAAAACACCATATCGTTCCCATCTTCACTGTCAGGAGAGCGGCACACGTCACAGATGACATCTTCATCGTACTCTATACCCAGACCTTCTTCAGTCTCAATAGCGTGATTCATATTCTCATGACAGTGTCGCTCCAGCACTTCAATAGTTTTTTCCATCGTGTTTTCATCCAGGGGCCCGCATCCTACAACGCAGAATAGGGAAAAGGGAAACAGAAGACACTCAGATGCCTCTGACCAAGTCTGAGAGGCAGAAAAACAGGACAACTTCTAGCAACTACTGCAGTACAAACATTACTTACATCAAAAATAAATGAATCTCTTTTCCAGCTCGCTTGCTAATATTACCTCTACCTCATAAATACAAATAGAACTACTACTGGAGTAAAAGTTTGAGTTGTACATAAGACTACATGTTGAAAAAAGCACTACAGCACGAAAGTCAGCAGCTTCTATAACTTCTTGCTTCTCTCATGCAAGTCTGCCTCCAACTCCATCATTCTAGGAAACACTGATGACTCAACATCATACACAATGTTCTTTTTTCTGAAGACAAATCCCTTAGCAAATAAAACTTACCAAGTACACTTTAAATGTTATGAAGATATAAAAGTTGCCATCAGTCCTTGAGCGGCCAGCACAATGCATATGAAAGGAGCTCTTATCCATTTTTTTTATAAAACAGTAAATAAATGCACTGTTAGCAATCCATGGCACCCATTTACTTGAACACTATGCCTGCTATACCCACTTAGCACTAATAAAATGCAGTGTAAGCAGATCTACTTGAAATGATTTGTTTTGAGATTGATCCCTCAGCTTGCAGCTGTAGAGACACCCTTAGAATCTCTACAATGTTCACAGCTACAAGAAATCTCAAAGTCACATCCCCTGAAAAACATCAGTCACAAATGCTGCCATCTCCTATTGTACAAAATTTACTTAGACTAGCAAAGGTTGGGACATCCATGCAGCACTGATACCAGAGGCTAACACCACTGTAACTGCTGGATTATGTACAAGAATACATGTACTAATATTGATTTCTTGTTACAACTGATAAACAATGAGATGGAAAAGATAAATGATTGTTAATATAAAGTGTCTGTTATTAAACTGTTTTCTTTAATGCCAGGATATTTTTTCACTCCTCTTATAAAAAGAATCAGAATAATTCTGGCTGGTACAGACCTCAGAGGGATTCAGTCCAGCTCCCTGCTTCAAGCAGGATCAACATTGAATCCAGATTAGGTTGCTCAGTAACATCTTTAGTCAGATCTTGAAAATCTCTGGATGGATAGAGACTCCAGCCCCAGAAAAGCTTTGGTTTTGAAAACAGCACCCAATATGGCTAGGAAGCCTGTCCTCACACCTGCCTTTAACATACATCATTTGGCTGTGGAGCTCTGTCATGAGCTCCCTCCTTTACCACGCTGGTCTCCTGACACATCTATTTGTTTTCCTGAATGCCTGGATGATCATTCTTGGGCTTGGAAGAGATTGTCCTTAAAGTTTTGCTAACTCTATCCAGCAATTTCACCCTTCAGAGCTGCCTTGCAGCAGCATATCCAACCCATTGGTTCCCCAGATAAGCAGAAGATTATTCTCCTAAGTCCAGGACCAGAAGCTACTTTCTCTCTTTGCTGCCCTCAAGATCTCAGTCTCCACTATTTCATAGCTGCCACAGCCAATGCCACCACCAATTAACTCATCCCAATTAGTTCTTCCTTCTTCATGAATAGCAGATTCAGGAGATGTCAAATAACTCTTTTTTCTACCTGTCCTTCATCAAGAACCTGCACTCACCCATGGAAGAATGTCAGTCAAACAGGCTATCCTATCACAGCTTGGCTAATTCAGCAGCAAAACCTAATTACTCCTTTAAGAAAAAGGCATGTTACAGCTCCTCACAACTCTGTATTTTGCAGCAATAATATGCTCTATTTTTAAAAATGGAAACATCTGTTTTTCCTATGCAAAATTTTTAACTTTTAAAGTCCTAAAACTAATTCCACCTGGTGTTGGCTTTTTCCCTCGTGTGTCAGTCTGCAGAAGTTGCACATAATTTTGGATGTGAAGAAGTTTTAAGGCACAAAAGGCAAAAGAAAACACTAACTGAGCTAGCAATTCATTTTCAACATTCTATAGCTTTGCCATTATTTCATTTTTGTTAGCATTTCCATTCAGTGCTCAAAGATCTTTAAGAAACCTCCCAACAGAAATTAACTGCTGCTTTAAAAACCAGAATGTGTTGTGAATTACCCATTTCAGTAAGCTCTTCGTTTAGTTCCTGGAGCCAAAAGATGTCCATATCATCCAAGTCATAGCGACACACAGATTCTGCCAATTCCAAAATGTTGATGTAACCTGGTTCTGTAGGCTCTTGGCTGGAGCAGTGGATATACTTCCTGGGTCGTGTATACAGTACTTCTTTCACCTTTTCTGCGACAACCCTACGTAAGGGAAAAAGGAAACACAAAGTTGGCTACAGCTTTTTAAGACTCAGCCTTGAAAGACATAAAATATTTGTTATCAATAGCATTTCACACACTTTAAGCTAGCCTGTAAGCGAAGCCAGAATGGGTAGACAGGATTCTGTAAATGTCATCTCTTCACATAAAATATGTTAAGGTTTGCTATGTATACAGAATCATTTTTAAAATGCAAGCTTGTGCATAATATTTTCAATTTAAGAAATGCTACTGGAATATGAATGTTCTTGAAATGCACAGAAAGTATCATGCACAAAACTCCCTACGATCTTGTCAATGATGATCTTCAAGACACCAGCTTTCTCAGGAAAAGCTTGATTTATTCTGCTGCGGGCGGTGGGGGAGGGAAGAGGGAGATGCTTGCTCTTCATTCAGGTTAAACAGTCTACCACTGTTTTACAAATGACACTTTATCCATGCTACATAAGTATTATTTTTGTTCTGCAAGAACGATTTTGTTGCCAAGTAAAAATGTACAGTGGAAAAACAGCTAAAAATCATCCAGGAAGTAAGGGGAAAAAAAAAAACAACAAAAAAACCCTAGTGTTTTCAACCTTTCAATTATTTTGTGAGATAAAACTTGGTGTTTGCCTAGTACGTTAGCCTATGGGAATGGAGAGACTGACCCCAGCTAGATAAAGTCAACCTTTCTCTGCATTTAGTTCAAGAGGCCCTGCATGTGAAAGGAAGCCAGGGAGATACCGCATGGAACGGTGCCATGCATGAGAAGCTCTGCATGCCTTCCACAGCTAGCCCTCCCCAGAACCAGGAGAAGAGAAAAGCTGTGGGAAACAAGGCAAGAGGAAGAAAGAGGGAGCAGGCAAAAGTCAAGCAGTATCCCACATAATTCTAACTGGACAATGTGTGTTTTCAATGTTAGCACTATGTTCTTCTGCCACTCTTCTCCACGCCTTCACGTCGCTTACTTTTTTTCTTGTTCTCATGAGATTTTCTGTTCTCTGGTCCAGCCAAATCTATAGCAATTTTTCCTCTAATGTAATATTGCTGGTATGAGATGCAATATATTTATTTTAGCAACTTGGTACTGATAATAGCCTCAGTGGAAATTAGATTATGCTGCCACAAACACTTGCACTGGACAGTTCATTTATTTTTGTCTCAAAGCCCACCCTGGCATGAATACTTCCATGTTACAACACACACTTCTTCTACCAGGAAGGGTTGCAGGACTACACTGTTATGTTTTCCTGGTCTAAGTACAGTGTGAGAGGATGAAAGATCTATCTCCTGAAACTGAGATCACTGAGCATGTATAATGCTTACCAGCTATTACCAGTAGGAAGAGAAAGCAGAAAGAATTAAAACTTTGGCAACAGAAACAAAAATTACATTACACAAACAAGTGAGTAGCTTTATCAGGTATCAGTTATTACTACTGAGTGGCTTCATCTTACTTTATATAGGGAAGCCTTACAAGTAACATGAAAACAACACAAGATTTGGGTTTATGTTTAACTTCCCACACTCAAATGAGAAAAGTTTTATCCACATGACTCAGGAAAAAATAAATCCCCTTTTTGAACTTTAAACACAGATACTTGTTGTATGCAACAGAACCAGATTTGAAATGCCACAGAAATGTTTTCCAAATTGGTTTATTTGGTTTAAAAGCAAGCTTGGAAGCTACTGCATTCGAGACTTAATTATAACAACAAGGAAATGCCAACTGCATTTAGACCACCACTTTTTGACAGACCAACTTCTCCGAGTTGACGCTCTGCACACACGCTCTATGTCCAATTGCTGTTACCTGAGAGATGGCTGCGGAATCGTTTCTGGACTGGCTGGAACTTGGACTCCTTTCTCCCATTCCTGTTTCCACGTGTCCGCAAAGACATAATATTCATCGGGGTTCACATGGTGAGAATCCGGTAGTTTCATGGCACTAATGAGATCCTTGCGGAACACCTGCAAAGAAAACCCAGAGAGGAGAGAGGTTTGAGGAAAAAGGGTTGCCCAGAGAAAAGTAGTAGATGAAGCAGTAGATACTTTCCTAGTTTGCACTGAAACAATCCACATTTGTTGATAATTTTTTGAGGACTGCCAACACACAAATGCATTAATTTGCAGTATGACATGAAGTTTAAGCTTCTTGTCAGAATCATGACGCTGCTCAAAGTCTAACCAGAAGGAAGAAGGTTGTTTCAGGTAGCCAAGATGAGGAGGAAAGTACCTAGATTACTACTTGTATGTAATACCATTTTCAAACAGCTCATTTGACTTGCCAGTCTGCATGCTTTATCCTAACTTAGGTACAAGGTAAGATATATAGATATATATATATATACATATTTCCTCTCAGTTAAGCTGCCTTAAGTTGCCATATTCTTCACAGGCTAAGAACAGTTGCCTTGGCAAGGTTGATATATAGGCACTTGTTCATCTCTAAGCCCATCTGAAATTTTAGTGGTCAGGATCTTCAAGATCAAAGACAAAGAGCTGCCTGTATCAGAAACACGAACTCTGCATTGCTCTGTACAGTGATGCTACTGCTGCAGAACAACCCAGCTCAGAACCCTTTAGCAAACCTATCAGGTGAAACATGCTATTGCATATCACCACAAAACTATCCATGACAAGCCTCTAGCTGCACCGATCAACATCTGGCTTAAGAAGATTATGTTTTTAAGAACACGGAACCACTATCAGTGGTCATGAAGCTTACTTAATGTAAATACCTGTCAAATAGAGGTGCAAGAAATTTAAATAAAGGGCATATGAATCCCTCTTTTGTTGTTGTTTGATTGTTTTTTGTTGTTGTTGGTTGTTTTTTTTCTCCCTGTTGATACCTTGCACCAGTTTAACATTCATTAAAGCAGAGCAGTGACTGTGGCTTGGTGCTGGTGAGACGTTACAACTAATTAACTGCATTGTCACAATGAGAAATCAAATCTTCGAAGGGTGATAAAATGAAAAGGAAAATACCCCTGCAATAAGCTGTGGAAGGTTGAACTCCTTCTTACTCAATTCGGTTTTGTAGCGAGAATAGTAATAAAAATACTTCAGAGCCAAATATCTTAATGCACCCTTTTCAATTTGACAGCACCAGACCACTTGACGTCTATTGCAAAAATTCTCAGCTGTCCTTGGAAATCATCAAGTTAACTGCTACAAAAGAAAAAGAAGCAAAAAAAAAAAAAGCAGCACTATGCTTTTAACTAGAAACAAGCATTGAAAGAGGCTGCTGGTAGCTTGGAGCACAAGGGTTGCTTCATTACACGATACAGCTGTATCACTCACAGACAGCTGGGAGCTCAACCTGGGAACTCAACAATATAGAGCAACCAGCAATCTCCTGAGGCTTCTGTATTTACTACTAAGGAGTATCTGCTTTGCTTTACATCAGACTGTTTACTGCAACCTTCTGTCTGCAGCGCTTTAGGTTTTAGAGAAAACAAGAGCGAAAGTGGAAAGACCATAAGCACCCATTTTTATCCAAGCAGCATGTCTACACGTCAAAAATAAAATGTGATGTGTTCTACACCATTTAAAAGAAATGTTCATATTCTTTGCTATAAGTAGAGCTAGGTTTATGAGGAAAACTAGTGTGGCACGGTTCCATAGAAATCCATGAGGAAGAAATAATCCAGTGAGAAATTCTATGACTGGTTTAATCATTAGAAAATATATTCCTCAAACCTTACCTAAGGTAAAGCATAAAGCACTTTTACAAACTACCTTTTCAGTCACTGAAGAAACACAGGAGAGGCTCATAGCAAACCCAGTGTTTTTCAAGCACTGAATGAAAAACGCTGTGAAAGGCATTAGTATTCCAACTACATCAAACTACATTGCTTAGCAGCAAATTCATCTTCTGATCATGCATTATGTATGTGAACTGTACCATCTCTATTTTTAAAGCACAAAACCTTTGGAGCATGAACTTTTTTTTTTCCCTGCGCCTGACCAGTCTAGTACCATGTAAACAACGCAAAGTTCTCTGCTTCAGATTGCTACAATTTGCAAATATTGGTATCACTGAAGGTAAAAGATTTCATCAATATAAACGTGACTGTTGAAACCTAAAGAAAAGCCAAACTCAGCTCAGATTTCCTAACAATACTGTCCTTGCTTTTCATGCCCAAGTACAACTGAGTATTTCCTGCAGACGCCTGGAATTGTCATAAAGACGTCCCAACCTGTAGCTCATCTCATTTCTCATGTCCTCACACACGGCCAGTCTTCCAGCAGCAAAATACTCTCAGAGGACAATGTTTCAAAACATGTGTCTTTATCACTCGCTCTGTGCTGCGTTCTGGAAGTAAACCAAAACACCCAGGGGACCCAAAGACAGCTTTCTTATCAATCAAATGATTTTTTACTCCAGCAGCCAGTTCCTAGGCTAAGGTCTGGGCCACTCAGTGAGGAGCAGACACACACGTTCAGGATTTAGATAGCCAGCTTTTCCTCACAGTTGTGTCTTTTTGGACTCTTACTGCCTCCATAAGACACTGGTCAGTCCTACTGATAGCACAGCCCCTCCTCTTGGCAGCAGCCAACTTTACTTCCCCAGTTAGCCCACACTGGCAGGAGCCACTTGCTGGTGGCAACCCAAAAGCAGTTACACTTCTCAGTGCACACAATACACAAGCCTTCAACTCTATTTCAGCATCATCTGTCACCAGACGAATTGAGAAGGACTGAGTAAGGAACACAGCTGGCCTTGGCAGGCAATGCCCTCCCACCCCTCTGGTAGGACACAGGGCACTTCATGAAGAGGCCCCCGCCAAGGGGAGCTCCGGCACTGGAAGGGGGAGGTCACGGCCGGTGTGCACAGAACAGGAAACTGCCCACCCACCAGAAGCTTCCACAGAGGTTACTGTGTGACAGGGGGATCGGTTTTACGTATTTTTAGCAATTGAAAGCCCTGCTTAGCGCTCGACTGTTTGTTCTGAACTTGGTTCCATTCAGCTGCCAGGAACTTCTAAGTTCCAGCTGAGAACGGTGCAGCAGTTAGCCTGAATGAAGTCAATGAAAACAGTGTTGGCTTGTGTCACAGAAATAATACTAAGCATTTCATGAAGAAACTCTAAAATGTTTTTCACACTTCAAAGCTGAGACTCAAAACTAGAAGAGAAAACCTTGCTCTTTGGTCAAGTCAAGCTTTTTGCTCTGCAGAAAAGTCTGATAAGATTTGCTCAAGCAACGAGAACTCAGACACCTCTAAAAGATGCACTGCTGCCTCTGGGCCTTTAAAGCCTAAATCCTACACAAATCCTCCTTAATAAGCAGGCTCTGCTCCTCCACCAAGCACTTACAGTGACACTGCAGAGCTGTGGATGGAAAGATATGGTTCATGTGTCATGTTTGTTTTTCAGGCTAAGTCCAATTTGGAAATTATGCTAGAAGAGCATGTCCAAGGAAAACGAAGCTCATAGAATCAGAAGTCTGTAAACGCATCACCAAAAGCTGTTCATGACTTCAACATGAAGTCTATGAAAATTCAATATACAATCTTCCTCACACGACCCTCCCTCCTGTGCTGACTCTATGAAAGAATAATTCTGTCTAACAAAGAACATCATTTGGTGTGCAATATACTTATCCACCAGAGATGTGATGGAGGGTACAAGTAATGCTGTAAAGAACTTAAGTGAAATATTAGCATCCAAGACAGAGAGCAAGTCTTCACCATACAACAGCCTTCTACAGCCTCCATCTTCAGCAAGCAATGCAAATATCGGATCTGCACAGAACATTTTGTTACCAAGCAATACAAATCTAAAGCCACATTTTGGGAAAACAAAAACCAGAACAACGACAAAATTCCAATAAACTGCAAAAAAACACAATCAAACAAGAGTCAAAGATCTATTTCAATTCTCTCCATTAAGCTTCTACTGACACTGACTGATCTCACTGCTCACTCACCGCATCCTGCCCAAATGCATGTGGTCCAGGAGAACAGACTGGATCATCTCTTTGAAACAGCAACAAAAAAGGTACTTCTTGTGACACTGAGCTTTTAAGCATTTGACCACCTGTTACTAAATTCCACGACGGTAAGACCACTGGTGGGAAGCACACATCAGAGGTCTAAGTGGAGTACATGTCAACCACTCTGTTGCTGTAACAATCAAAGCAGGATTTCTGCTGGATTGCATCTAATTGCTTCATGCTAAGGCTTCCCCTGGTGCCTGGCAGAGCCCCTAAGGAGTTAGCAGCATACATTTCATTGCCACATACTCGCTACCTAGAGACAGAAGACCCTCTGTCTTCTGAGATATCCATTTTTAAAAGGCAGAATTCCATCCCCCTGCCCAAAGTCTGCCAGGAGACTACCCTCAGAAATACCCTCAATATCCTCTCAGAGAAAGCTGAAACGCCTAGGATCTTTTTGATTCTTCTTCTTTACAACCCTGAAGGCCAACTACGAAATTCCAGTTGCCAACTACTCATTCAACAGCAGGCATTTTCTCTAAAATGTACAGTAAACTACACGTGAGTTTTTCATCTTTTTGATTATTTTTCAAATTCACCTTCAGAAAAATGCTCTACGTTTTTTTTATTCCAAAGTTACCCATAAGCACCAAAGCTTATTCTACTACTCAACACCTCCAGCAAAAAATTAACAACATTTACAAAGCAGCAGTTTATACCCAAAATCACCACATAAATGATAACATGGAAGCTAAATGGTACTAAGACCTATTACACATGTAACATAACCACATCGTATCTGAGCAGATAGTCTCATCTAACACATCTAATCTTTGTATAGATGTTTGACAATGTCTGCCAAAGGCTGCCTATCTATGGAGAACGAAGCTGCAAGGTGCACACCACTTTCCAGAACTTGGTAGGCTCATCTTCCCAAGGTTGAACTGTTATTGTTAGTACACTGCAATCTGGGCATTAAGTTTCTGAATTGAGGCACTTCATTAAAAAGGAGTATACCCTATTATAGA